GCATCACGTATGCGAACAAGCAAATGTTTTTTTTATTTTTATTATATTGGATTATTAGATTGTTGCCTTTAAAGTATTTTGTAGATAATAGCTCAAGTGTCTAGTTCCCACGGCCCTATTAACGCTACTCAGTGCAATTTTCTTTAGAGCGTATTATTATTTAATTTCCGCCAGTAAATAGAACTGCTTCGATAATAAATTCTTAGTCCCCGCATCGCTAAAGAAGATTATTTATTTAGTACAACTATTAGTGACAGTATACTTGATAGTGACACTATACTTCGATGCTATTTGAAACGCTGTTTATGAAAGGTATGAAAGCTATGTGTCCTTTACAAGATATAATAAAACCGTCAATAACTATTTTTATGAAGCTTTGCGGGGATAGAAAACGCTTGCAGGTTATGTAAACTACTAGTTTCTGTAATAACAAATGTCGTAGGGCGTATATGTTCCACAAAGATGTCGCAAATTGTGATGTTTTTTCGTTTAGACGTAATTACATTGGAATAGAATTCGTTCTACATTTCATACCAGACACATCATTTTTCGCGGCAGAAACGTGAAAGTGGTCGCTTTTTAGGTTAGATGTCGGAACAATGGCACGTGAAGAATGTAAATATTCCAGAGCTCATCGAAAGAAAAACCGATACGGTATTCTAGGTACCACAATTGCTTTACATCTTACGCGCGGTACATCCGGCGTTTCGCGCGCGGTTCAGTCGAAGCGAGGGGTGTTGCAACACCCTCTGCATCGCTATCGAAAAGCTAATATTTCTTCAAAAATGTTGATTGTATTTATAGTAACAGACTAGCGTTTCGCGTCTCGAGTTTGATTGTTTGAGAAGTTTGAAAGTATGAAATCCCGAGTTTAAACGGGAAGCTTGTTTTAAAATCGGAAGCTTGTGAAGCAACTATAACTTATAAACTTTATAAGTTCATTTCAAAGTTCGTTGTTTTTAAACTTACTATAGATATGCCTTAAAAGCTTTTGCGAACAACATACAATAACTAATTAACTGTTACAATTAAAATAATAGGATTTTTGTTAGATAAATTAATAACGTAATGTATGTTGCAATTATTTAAGTACCTAATGTTTACATTATGAAAAAAAGTTTCATAAAACGAAGACTCGCGCAGATATTAAGTACTATTCTTGAAACAGAAATATCAATAACTAGATTTTTAATGCAGTGAGCGGAAGAGGCACGGTATATCTAGTACTAAGCTTGGATGTCACCTATCCACATTCCGCCCACATCGAGACATGAGGTCGATTTCTCAATTTGACAATAATGATGTTAAGGCAAATAAATACCACACTGTTTGGCTTACCATTCTACTTACCGTATTGTCTTACTTTCGCTACGTAATGAAGTGATCAGATTTGAAGAGTAGACTATCCGTTATTGAGAATTGAGTTGATCATATACACAGTCCGGTATTACGGCAGAAATACAAAACGTGCACCATATGTGTAAGTCAAAGCGCAATTCCACGTTCCAACATACTTGACACCAAGATATGTCAATTAATACTCGAAAAAACCAGAGTTTGGATGTAAAAGTTTGGAGTTAAAAGGATGCCCGACGGATTGGAGACTTTTACGCCGTAGGTTCATTATGCGACATGATACCAAGTTTTTAAGTAACCGCTGAATTTTGTGGGGCCGAATGATATCCACGGTAAAGAAAAATATACCATATAAAGTGTCATAATTCATAATACCTTATACGCAAAATTTTGTTTTAAATATTTTTTATAATAGAACAGTATTAATTCAGACTTCACGCAGGTCAATTTGTTAAACACGTCCTATATTCTACAAGTGAGTTAAAATTTATCTGTAATATTAAGCATGATATGTGCTATTAAAAAACTCTAATGAAAATGCTCACATTATTATTGTTTTTGTATGCTCATCTGATAGTAAGTGTTAACGGTAGCAAATGTACATCAGCAATGCCAGAGGTGATGCCAAATTGCTGTCTACCGCTAAATAGGCAGCAGTTTGGAGCAGTCTGCTGCTATAATATAAACAATAATCATATCAACAAAAATCCTATTTTAGTAATCTGATATATTAAGTGACTTCTTATTACGGTTCTAAAGTAAAGGCAGATTGGGAACTTATGCAAAGTAGATTATTCTACTTGATAAGAATAGCTGTCTTGTCTTAAAAGCTGCAAATAGAACTCTACAGTTTCGAGATGTAAAATTTTCGAATATGGTTAATCTATAATCTAGAAGATTGTAGGAATTTGATTCATTACAGTACTTACAGACAGTAAGTCGACGACTTGCTGACGCTAACTTGAAACCACTTGGACCTGAAAATGGCCCTAAACTGGAGCGTGACGATCGCATTTCAAGACTAAGATATGCCCTGAACCATTTAAATTGGACTATTGAAGATTGATCGAACATTATGTTCTCCAACGAATCAAAATTTATGCTCTACAAGCACGATGGAAGATACAGAGTGCATAAAAGACAAGGGCAAAGATTCAAGCAAGCATGCATAGAAGAAAAAGTAGCCTACGGTGATGGGTTTGTACTTTTGTGGGCCGGAATTTCATCTGAGAGTCGCACAGAACTGGCGTCCATAGAAAACGGCTCTTTAACTAGCAATGAACATGAACATTAATGAACATGTTGGGCCATTTATGGTCATTTTTAGTGAGGATGCTATTTTTAGGCATGACAATTCCTGACCTCGTACAGGTTTCATTGTGAATGAAACATTCGTCTACAAAAGATGAACATTACTCGATCGAGCATGCATGGGAAGAGCTAGGGAAATACGTAAAACAACAAAACCCCGAAACGAGGAGGCAATATAAAGTATTAAAATTCAAGAAAATCATATTGTTGTACAAAAATGTTATGTTTCCTATTTTTGTTTTAAGAGCGGGATCAGCAGTTTTTATTTTATGTAATTTTTTTAAAATAAAATGCAGTGACTTATAAATGTCATTACTTTCATTTAAGAGGTATTATATTCTATCTATTGAGCACAGTTTATTTTATTAAGCTAGCATTCTTAGTTTCCAAGATTATTAGGTATCTTTAGGTGACCCGCATTCATTGCCCTGAAGTATATTTATTAGAGCTTAATCAGATTCAACACATAGTGACCCAATCCTATTCCTAATAAACACTTTTTCCAAATCACATCATGAGTACTAGTAGTATATTGTGTTGTGATCTGCACCGTTGGCCATTTACCTATGTGGGCTGCAAAATAATCATCCAGTTCAAACAGATATATTTAAATTATCTGGTATGTGAAATTAAGATTATAAGTTCAGTGGTGGCAAATTCATTTCATTGTCATTTTACTTTGGAAGCTGCTCAACATTAGGTGGTCTAATCTATTCTATATAATACTATTTATGATACTTTATATTATATATTATGTATCCAGTATTAAAGTTTTAGGCAATTCATTGAAATCATCTTGACTGATTACTTGGAACATGACACTACAACTTAATATACCTAATATATATAAGGTTATAGACTTGTAAATAGTTGTAATATCTATAGATAGTCACATTACAATAACCATCTGACAGTATAAATTTTATGTCACTTAATGCCTTGGTAATTAATCTCCTAGCAAAAACATAGTCAATGCAATTACATTTTTTATGAATTTTAAATAATACATAAGTTCTTACATAATACTACTCCATACATAAGTTCTTGAAATATTATTTTGTTGCTTTCATTATGTAACATTCTAAGGCTGTGCTGAAAAACCAAAAAAAGAACAGAAGAAGTATAATATCAGGTCTGTGGAGTTCTTTTTTTATTCTATAAAAAAATTATACAAGAAAAATGAGTGATCTATGATGAAGATTCTATGTCAATTTTTATTCCCTAATAAGGATTTTTAAAAGTTTTTAATATTGGTGGTAGGAAGTCTTGTGAGTAGGCACAGGTAGGCACCAGCACCCTGCCTAAATTCTCTGTGAAGTAGTAATGTTATATAGTTTCAAAGGGTGGGGCAAATGTAAAAACTGAGATCTTAGAGTTCATGTGTTAAGGTGGATGGCAGCCTTTATTTTATGGATGTCTATGGGCTCCAGAAACTACTTAACACAAGATGACTTATCTAAACAAATAACATGGATGCATATCAAATTAATTACTAATTCTATAGGTATTTTATTTAGTAATTGTTGTGTGAGCATTTGAACAAAATTCAACAGAAGAAATATTATTTTCCACAAAAATTATTATGTTTTTACATTTATTCAAATTGCAATAATTAGTCACCAATGTAGTCAGTACACTTATATATTTTATGTCAGTATTCACATGTTATATTAGCTATTTGAATAGACATTGATGTAGAATTAAGTCTAATATTTGCATTTAATACTAGAGTATTTAGGTTTGAAACTGACTACTTATTACTCTGAATTCCGTTCTTTGTGTGTATTGTGAACCGTTTTCATAAGTGCTCACTGTTGATAACTTCTTAAAAATATATTTTCGTTATTGATGAACAAGATAGCTCATTCTTTTGAAGTGACTTTATTAAATTTGTAATAAGCAATTGCTGTGTGTTAGAATTTTACCTTTACACCTTTAACAGCACACTTTTAATTTTATTATGATTGTCTAATTTGGTTACTTATACACTAAAATGTTAGAATTACATTAGTTTTCTATAAAGTTACACGCCTTTTATCTTGTAATTAAGTAAACAAATGCATTATTTTTATTGTTTGGATAATGTTAAGCATCCTCAGTAAATCATTTATAGAATTTTATTAAGTACTAGTAACGACTGTACACAATGAAGTGTGTATTCGGGAACAACGGGCGCCCTTCATAGCCTTGCACGAGTTATTTATGTATGCGAGAGCATCATGTTCTTATTTCAAACACCATTTATTTTTAAATTCATAACATAAACTACTATTGGATTGAGGTACTTAGCATGCATTAGACAAAATTTTAACATAAACATTATCACAACGCACCTTTAAGCGCCAGGTACATAGGTGGAACCCGGTGACATAGGGAGTAAATTAACATAACTTCGTCCTTAGACTGTTTATAACACTGGTCATACCTCAAAATAAGACCTAAAACTTACTCACTATTATTAACAGCAAACATCACGAAACTAAATTAACTTTTATTTTAATATTGCGAATAGGAAATCACAGACGGTAATAAAATTATTGCCACACATTCAAACCAACCACAGTACACAACTTGACTTGAAGCCTATTGAAATGCGTTTACGAATGCGAGGTCTGTTTCTCTTTAAAATCTCATGCAAAATGTTGAGTGATCTGTGAGATTTCTGAACGAAATACAGAGAAAGTAAAATTCATAGAGAAAGAAAACTAGCGAAAATTATTGCAATGATATGGTAATACCGTTAGTAAGTGAGAAGAGAATGTCAAATTTATATTTTTAGTCTATGTTCGACGTCAGGGTGTGGTAGAATTTAATTTCAGATATAGTGGTAAACATTTGCTCGGAATACGTTTTTGAAAACTCTTTGGTAGAATATCCTGGTATCAATCTCTTTATTTCATCGCCTGCGATCGTGCGCTTTAAACGTTTTTGAATCCAGTAAAGCAATAAGTGAAAATTAAGTAGAATTTTAACAATGGCAAATATAGCAGCCAAACGTATAAAAAGAGAGTTCAAAGAGATAATGAAAAGTGAAGAGGTATGGATAATAATTTAACTAAACTTTATATTTGTTTTGATGTTTAGAATGTAGAACTGGAGTTACTTGCACTTTTGTTAAAATGTCATATTTTGTTGGAATGCATTATTATTATTTAGATAGTTAAATTGCCCAAGAAACTAAATTGTTGGATTGTCTCGATATAATAAAACAAAGAACAAATAGCCAGTTCAGAACAATGTGTGCGTGATTCAGCAAACTTGTAGAAATCATGTTTTGTTTAAATTCAAAACGTTAATGCTATTTTTAATTCGTCGAAAAGGAATTATTTTACTGCTTCGTAATAGTAAAATTAGCTTTTCAAAATACATCTATAATGTTTTTCGTGATTCATACGAGAAAAAGTAAACATTTTGTTTTCTATATTTTCTACCAATGTTTTTAATAGAAACAATACTTATATTACCCACATTGATCATTATAAGTAATTGAAGTTGTGTTTAAAATAAAATAAAAGATTTTATCCGATTTATGCCCAAGCAAAAGTATTTTTGGCTTATTTATCAAATCACAGTTATGACACTGGTGGCTTCAGGCAACCATTTACTTCCAAAAAGCCAGACATAGTACAGGTATTTTTACATTATTTTGGATTTATTCCCTCATTATTGATTGCCATTGAAATAGAACTTGTGTGTGGGGCACCAGCATCCCCTTGTATATGTGTTCAGCTTACCAAGTAGCAATATTTACACATAACATACCGAATTTTTTTAAATTAAATATCTGTAGCACTATTGTCATGGACAGATTGCCTTATTTATTGCAATTGTAAGAGCACACCTGCGTGCAATGCATGTAATACATTAATGTACCGAACATGATCCAGGCGATACTAAGCTAACAGCATTCATAATCCACATTTTGATTACAATAGTAATTGTCCTCATAAACATGAACTAGACGATGACCGAGCTTTGCTCGGTATTAATTTTTTTTTTGATAAATTGTCTTTCGGTTGGCTTAACAACGTCATCTGTGGAAATAACTTTAGTGTTATTGTGTCTTTAAACAATTATGAAAAATAGTATTATTATTCGCCAATATATGTCGGGAAGTCATAAAGTTGATTATCGATAAAGTTGATTATTGAAAACACAAGTAAAACAACATTTCCTAAAATAAATTCTAGCTAGATCGATTTATCGCTCCCTGAAATCCCATGTATACTAAATTTCATAAAAATCGTTGGAGCCATTTCCGAGATTCAGATTATATATATATACAAGAATTGCTTGTTTAAAGGTATAAGATTCTGTGTTTGTGTAGACTAAGAATATTAAATATCTCAGTCCTAGCCCAAACCCAGCAAAAACTGAATTTTTCATTAGACAAAGTTTTTGCACTTCCTGCAAGTATGTGCTCTCCAATTAGCAAGTATCTTTTACTGCCTAGGTTGTATCTGAAAGCTAGCATGTGTAGTAAGAAGGTTACTCCTACTTAAAATATCTGCACTGCATTAGCACCAAGGCCCAATTTTTGTTTATTTATATATAGTGTAGATTATTGGAACTATCTTCTTATTGAGATCCATATTAAGAGTTTTTCAGGAATACCATTCATTAAATTGAATTACCAGGGCTCTTGCATTTACTTTTCTTAACCTTCTGTACTGAAATAATATACTGTACAATGACACATTGTGTAATTGTGTTAGTCATATTTGTATATCTAAAAGTGCATACTTGCTGCATTGTAAGCTTGCACAATTTCTTATCTCTCTCTAACCTTTAGCTTCTGCACGGCTGCCCACTGAGATCTTCTAGCACCTCACATCTAAATGGAACAAATGTTTATGTTTCTGCAAATATAAACAGCAGGGAAAACAAAGAGGGTTGTAATTGCCAGGAGGAGTGGGATTTGCTAACAACTGCCTTAGCACCTCTAAAGAAAACCTGCCATCTCAAGGGCAATTGCTTCACGAATTCATCTTCTACCAGACCGGAATTGCGCCCCACTGAGAAGATCTGGCGAGAAATTTAGCAGGCTCTAAATGTTATAGAGGGTAGATTTACTTTGAACTCTGACGAGTTTGATGAGTTCGGTTAGCAGGGTTCCTATACTTGCTCCTAGTGTTAGAGTTGCAGGTATCTAATGCAAGAGTTATTGGATCAGATAGATCTGTAAGGACGTGTCTAGAACGTCAACGATGACTGACTCCTGTGTGAGTCTGTGGCGATATACTTGCTCCTAGAGTTAGAGTTGTAGGTATCTAATGCACGAGTTATTGGATCAGATAGATCTGTAAGGACGTGTCTAGGACGTCAACGATGACTGACTCCTGTATGAGTCTGTGGCGATGGTGGCGGATGTGATTTTCATCAAGATTCATTATCATTTCTTCAAGATCTACATATTGCGATGTAACATCATATTATATCTCAATCAATTCTAGGGCTTTAACAGCCTTCATAAAAAGGAGGCTATTTATCAATTCAGCTCTGTTTTTTGTGTTAATTCAAAAGTTTTTCTCGGTCAACTGATTTTTATGATTCTTTTTTTTTTATTATCAAATTTCAATTTTTATCGAAGTCTGAGCAGTCGTTTTTGAGTTATCCTTATTGATCTATATTTAATTGACATTGATTACATTGATCAAATTATCTCAAAATCAAAAAATGATCTAATTTTAATTTTTAAATTTGGTTTTCTTTTTTTTAATTTCGGTATCGTATTCATAAAGCTGTTTGGAACCCATTTTCGTCCTGAAATATGATTTCAATATAGGTTAAGAGTCTATTACTCTTAGAATTAGATTAGAACTTATCTCTATGATCAAGTTTTGCTATATAATAATTTTATAACTGAATAAAGCGTGTAAAAAGATTCCAATTTCGATCAGTTATTTGCAATCTAATATTAAAGTTCATTCTAAATCCAACACCACCGCACAACCCATAAATGTTATGAAAATCATGACCAGTGTCTACAAATTATTCTTGTTCTGTGCACAAATCAACTAAGAGAATAGAAAATAATTAACAATAATAAATAAAAATTCTTTAGTATAATTAGATTGACATGAAGCAGAGTTTTAAACTAGTGCACAATCAAAGCAATAACAAAACTGCATGCATTGTTGTGATACATGTACTTATAAGCTCTGCTTAAGACTAAGAGAAATGTAAAATCTACTATACAAATATAAGTGAGACTTTAGCTGCCAATAGTATACTTCTGTCTATATAAATGTTTAACAATGGGAATAGGTAAGGTTAAGGGAGCCAATCAAGTGGATATATATTATAAAAATAGATAAAAAACGAAAAAAAAAACACTGTTGGAAGTATGTAATACTGAAAATTTTATTAACCAGAATTTTTACCAAAGAAGGAGATTATTGTATATTCTTAATATGTATCTATATTGAAAAAATGGCCTTAACTATTAAAACATTCAAATATTCATTTTATTTCAGATTGAAAATACAGTAAAGAAATTATCTTTCATTTTTATTCCTAACAAAACATGTTCAGCATCAATTTCATATCATTATCATTGGACAGAGGTCAGATGGATCGGTTAAAGTGGAACAACTACTTGTTTCCAATGAATATCAATAATGTTCCAATTGGTGTTGTTTTGTATATCGATGCGTGTTCGATATATCATTTTTATCTTGTTTTAATACTAGTACTAATTGAATAAGTAAAGGTTAAGAGTTTTCTTTTTGTTTCATAGGTGATTGGTGGCTCCATAAAATTGGGACTCGTGAATGAGAATTGGACTGAACTCAAAGGCGAGATAGCTGGTCCTGTTGATACTCCTTATGAAGGTGGGACCTTCCTCCTTGAAATTAAAGTTCCCGAAACTTATCCTTTCAATCCTCCTAAGGTATGTTTATTTACTAAGTTAAGATAAAAATTCAATTTTGAACAGCACAGATTTTTGCACTTATGTACAAGCCATGAATTATTAAATACAAAAAAATTATGTTAGTAACTTATTAAACAACGTCAATATATCTTAAATAATACTACAAACAATATTTTAAAAACAGGTTGCACACTAAATAACAGCATTGCAGAACAAAGCAAATTCATATTATTAACACTGCATAATATGTCCAATAAGTTTTGTTTTAATTAAGTTCATAAGTGTCTTCTTGCCTGTGTTACATTATACATATAATACACTAGCACAGTAGTCACAAAATAAAAAAGCTAAACAGTCATTTTATTTAATATATTCCTTTTTGACAGATACGCTTTTTGACCAAGATCTGGCATCCGAACGTGTCCTCAGTCACCGGTGCCATATGTTTAGACATCTTGAAAGACCAATGGGCAGCAGCTTTAACATTGCGTACAGTTCTATTGTCGTTGCAAGCATTACTGTCAGCAGGTGAACCTAATGATCCACAAGATGCTGTGGTCGCCAAACAGTTCAGAGAGAATCCTCGTTTATTCACTATGACGGCACGACATTGGACCAATGTTTATGCTGGTGGGCCAAATATAGTACACGAATGCAATAGCAAAGTGCAGCGTATGCTGGACATGGGTATTGATGAACATCAGGCCAGAGTAGCTCTCTCCTCATATGATTGGGATTTAGAGCGTGCCACTGAGCAACTTTTTGGCTAGATATTTGTAATAAATTTTAATTAAGACGTGTTGCAACCAATCTACTTTGATGTTGTAATTATCCCTGTTATTTTCATAGTGTGCCCTTTGTGGGGACTTAGATTTTTTTTCTTTCAATCCATCGTAAAAATAATTACAATATATCACTAATTAAGATAGGTTTGATGTCCAAGTAAAATTTACTGTTATATATAAGTACGTTTGAAAGCGAACTATACTATTGAACTCAATAAAACAGAAAATATAAAACCAAATACTCCATAACCTTTTTAATATTGAATTTACACAAACGGCAGAAATAACTTAATCAGATAATAGCAACACTGAAATAGCACGTGGATATGAAATTGTACACAGAATCTTTAAATAATGTAGATTATAAATTTTATTTATGTACAATAATAAATCTTTAAATTTCCTCACGGAGTGTTACTCAATGGCTAAGAAAATAAAAACACAGAGTTTACATTATATGCAAATCAAGTATTAGTTATTGTACAGTATTTTTTGTATATACCTATAAATGATTGTTATATGTATTCCATTTATAAATCAATATTTGTTTATGCAGACTCTTACTCTACGTAGACTATTTGTTTCTACTTTTATTCCATCGACGCGAAACTTTACTAAAGAAAGTAATTAGATTTCGAACTAAATGATTTTTATGAATGATTAATGAATAGTAATTATTTTTATTTTAAATATTAGTTTGGTGGTATTGATGACCTAATTCGTGTAGGTAGTTACTATACATTTGATATGTTTAGCTTATTCCATTTCTAGTTAGTTTTGTATAGTATGATCGAAGGCGTGGCGTGGGTAAGAATTCCACGATGTTTCCTTAATGGTAATTAAATATATGTAAATGAATCGTATAATAAATTAGTGTTTTATTTGTCTCCTGAACCCCAAACCTAAAAACTATAAATATATTAAATTCTTAATAACATCATAAATACATAGTATACCAATTAACAACATGACCAGCAAAAGCTTTATTAAATATTATTGTTATTTGATAAATAGGATTATTTACTTATCGAACGAAAATAGTTTAAATTATAAAACTCAATTTTATGAATATATATTTTTAATTCTTCGGCAGGTAGACGAACTCTGGTCCACCTGGTGGTAAGTTGTTAGCGGAGCCCATAAACACCAACTATTGAAGTAAAAATAAAGAGAATGTAACGATGTTAGATGATGAATTATTGAGGATTCATTTAACTAATAGACACAGCCCCCTGAGTTTCTCGCCGGGTCTTCTTAGTCGGTCGCGTTTCCAATCCGGTGGTACTTCTGCGAAGCACTGCTCTTGCAAGGGCCAGTGTTAGCAAAACTCTGGTTTGAGCCCCGTGAGCTCGCCTACATGTTAGGGCGAAGCTGAAATAGCCTCTCAAGGCTATCAGCATAGGTAGGAAAAAAAAGGATTAATCGACGATCGAAATTAGCGAGGTTTTGACGTCTTAAGTTTTTGTAAAGTCAATGTATAAATTTAAAAACATTAGTGAGGCGAAATTCGGAATAATGCCGAATAAACCGGGCAAAGTGAAGGAGTTTATGTTGGAAAGCGGACCGGGAAAACGCTAGGAAGAAAAAGAGTTGCGAAATTCCAAACACAACTATACTCGTATAGGGTTTTAATCGTTCATGGATTTGGTGTATAAATTCATGGCTAACCTAGTTTTCAGTGGTTAGCTGAGCCTATAGATATCACAACGTTAATTCCACAGCCAACCTTGAATCAGGTGGAGTCAAAGCTATCCAACATTTCAAACTTGAACGCATTCTACGCAACTAGTTATTATTCTTTAGTTTCAGTTATAAAATGGTTAAAATAAAGTTCTAATTAGTAAATAATAGGTAAACAGGTTTTAAAAAAATATTAAATTGATACGATGTGTAGGTATGTACTTGATAACTCATAATAGACAATAACCGGTCCAAGGTCCGAGTGGGGTGAATTGAGTTTGGTTCAATTCAGTCCATTGAAGACTAATTCGCACGTTCACTCCCAAGATTCATACTTTACACGATAGTTTTTTGGTTTTTGGGGTTGAATCATTAAGAGCGGTATTCAGTATGGAAGTTATATGAAATGTAAAGGCACTTCACATGTGTATCCGTTATAAAGCTCAGATCGAATTTCGGGTGGAGATTTACTCCGAGCTTCAGTTCGCAAGAAGTCCAGGGGTTTTGAAACTTGTGCAATAATTAAATTTACAAAAGAAGCACCCAAAGCAACAGATACCGTTATCTGTTTGGTAAATACTGTGATGAATTCTTTGAGGTGATCATGTCACCCGTTTTCTATAATAATACTGACCGCTATCGGAACAGCATTGGACTCTAGGTACTATCTGAATCCGTTGCGTGTCCCCAGATTCGTGCATTTACTTTCCTCAAATCAGTTACATAAGTCACATAAAATAGGGACGGTGGTGGTATTTACCTGTCCAGGGTTAGGTACAATGCCCTACCACCAGTAATTACGCCAAATGTGAATTTGGCTCGTTTGTTTTTGTAAAATGATATTGCAACGCAAAATATTATCATTAAAAAAGTAGGTACCAAAACTCGATACCATTAGCCATCCTGAGCCTATTTTTTTGGGATGGAGAGATTACTGGTGGCTTTCTAGCTTCACCAGGACAGGTGGACGAACACGGGCTCAACCAGGAGGGATGGGATTTGCTAACAGCTGCCCGAGTGCCGCCGACGGAAATCTAACAGTTCATCAATTGTTTAGGCACAACCACTGTACTAACGAGAACGCGCGATTGCTTCTTTTTTTATGATTGAAATATTACTGGTGGCCCGGAGGCCTTTCCAGCTTCACCAGGACAGGTGGGCGAGCAAACGCTCAGCCAAGGGGGGTGGGATTTGCTAACAACTGCCCGAGCGCCTCCGAAGGAGACCTAACAACTCAAGAGCAATTGCTTCGCGAATGAATCTACTACCGGATCGGAATCGCGACCCACAGAAGATCCGGCGAGAAACTCAGCGGGCTGATGCATGGGTTAGGTTGCACGTCGAGTTCGACGAGTACGGTTACCGGGGTTCCTCAGCCTGCTCCTAGTGTTAGAGCTGAAGGTATCTAATGCAAGAGTTATTGGATCTGATGGATCCGTAAGGAGCGATTGCTTCGCGACAGAGACTGGTACGTTGGTGATCCGCACCCGTGGGTTTGTGCAACAGGCCTCAATGTAAGTCATCGCTAAAAAATACATATAAGTATTATACAGTGAAATGATCAAAGTTATTCCGATTTTGTGTTCGTTGACCGGAAACATTTCATTTTGGAACGTAGTTCCCGATATAGGAGTTCACTTCGGAGAGTGCCATATCGCAACTATGTTGCAAGTTCATTGTTTAAAATAAAATACGCGGAACAAGTGAATATTTAATATCGCCAATGCAAAGTACTTTATAACTCACAACAAATTTCTAATTTATTGGCTTAAATCATTATTGTTAGAACTGAATAATATTTATACATCTGCAGCTTATAGATTCAGAAAGTTTTTTTTATGAATGGCTTTTTTCTGGCCTATTTAGCAGAGACGTCCCCGTACTAATTATCATATTATAACAAAAAGAACGTTTACAGTTGTAGCGTATTGCTTGTTTTATTTATTTGCAATACGTAGCTGATCAAGTCGATTTTTGCAGCGTATTACATTTTCTATCAATATTTCTATCGTATTGCTTGTTTTATTTATTTGCAATACGTAGCTGATCAAGTCGATTTTTGCAGCGTATTACATTTTCTATCAATATTTCTATCGTATTGCTTGTTTTATTTATTTGCAATACGTAGCTGATTAAGTCGATTTTTGCAGCGTATTACATTTTCTATCAATACTTAAAAAAAAAAACATTTTCATGAAACTGTTCTTGTTAATTGAAAATTGTTAAAGATATTTATTTAGGAAGCATTTAAAAAAATGGAAAGATAGTGGTAACCTTTCTTAAAATTAAATAGATTGGCTTAGGTCCGACAGAATAATATAATGTAGGTTATTTTGTACTTAGTGCTTGTTATGTGCGCCATCTAGCGACAATACTCGTAATGACGTCGAAACAGAAAGCCTGCGATACAAAACCTCCAAGACGAGGGGCTGCGCCCGCGCACCTCGTCGCTTGCATGAACAAACACCGAGTTGTTCTAGCGACATGCCGATCGCCGACCGAGGTATCATGCATCAGTCACATTTGACGTTACTTTGTGAACGGAGCTCTCGCGCGCCCCTCCTATGCTTCGCTTGAATTCGAGGAAGGCAGAGTGCATAACACATCACCAGAATGTGACAAAATAAGTGCACCACTTAGCCAATAATTTCCTTTCGCCTTCCTTAAATATCAAACGGCTAACAAACTTTTTATTACTTTCTAAAACGTATTTAATTTTCCGCGTGTGTCTCATTCCAAGCTTGCGCCAACAAAACGTGCGTGTCTAAATAAAAATAATTTAATAGTGTTTTAAACTAAACAAAAAAAATGACTATATCGTACGCCGGTGAAGTACCAAACGGCAGCAGTTTTGGTTGTTTCTGGAGGATCCTCTGCAAGTGAGTAGTAATCGTCGAGCCTAATGTCTTTGACCGCGTCGAGGAGCTTAGCCAGTTCAGACGGCCACTGGTCCCGTGGAGTCGCCTGAAACAGCTGTTCGGTGTCATGTCTCTCCGCCTCGCTCCTACATGACGAAATCGCACCAATCGTCCGTAACCACACATTGTCTATAACAATAGCACCTCTCTTGCGACTCATTGTGACGTGCTTATTGTGTTTTGTATATAGAATATAAAGCTAACCTCGCCGTATGTTTACAATAATCTGGCGGTCGAAAGTTTGTTATTAACTGTCATAATTAGAGAGCGAGAATAAAGTGCGGAGATGACCTTGATGGCGTCGAATTGATGTATGAGGCTTGTTCAGACCTAACCGGGCTGATTCGATGGCTGGTTATTCGACCCTGACAACGAAATGTGGCGAAAGTCACTATGACCCATATCTACCACTAAACTTAAGCTCAGCGGATTTAATTACAAATCAAATGTTCGTTAAATACCATTATTTTTCAGTAAACGTATCGACTGGTACTGTTTAACTTCTTCAAGAATATTTTGCTTTAATTCATCAACATTTACAGAATTCAAAGTAGTTGTTTGATATGAGAGACACGTCGTAGCTGTGATTACTTCAATTTTTTTTTATATCCATAATTAACAACATACAAAATAATTCACCATAAATCTAAAATATGTAAACCTAAACTAAACACGTACCTATAAACGAATAATCTGTATTCATCTTAAGAGAGCACATCAAATTGAAGTCAAATTACTATCTCCTTTGAACTACAGCTAGTAAGTACTTACTGTACATGATTTTAATTTATTTTTTTGAGAATCCAATTTAACGGTAAGTGAAATAAGTCACAATGAAAAGTAATTTATTACTATGTGAACCAAATTATAAAACTTGTTTGAGTCAACCAATCAATGTCCGTTACGCGGTAATACTTCGTAAAATCACTCATTAACGATCTTGCAAAAAAATTAACTCGACTACTGTATCTGAAAAGAAACATTCGTTGAAAATCTATCATACAAGAATCGTGTACGTAAAATGTTTAATAGATTTAGGATTTCATATAAAATATTTGTCGTAAATAATCGTACATACCTACTCGTTCCACTAAAGGTTCTACAAAAAATATTTTCACATATTGATAAGAAATACTCCAAGTATTTGCGACTAGTAGACTCGATTAAAACAGTTGAACATAAAAAAATTATGCACATAAAAACGAAAAAGTATTTTAACCATATTTATGAAGATTATATTGGCCACGTATGTGTATATATTTAATGCGAAATTAAACCTTCAATAACGTCATATAACGTGAACAACACAGAGAAATATGACACATATCTTTAAAAGTTATGAGTTTTAAATTGAAAAATTACTCGATAAAGGCAATTAGAGTGTCGTATTCAAATTAAACTAGATACCTACTACTAAAGTACGTACAATGGATTTGTTTAAACTAACTAAAAAATAGCGGGGTTTAGAATCCGAGGCGTAAGATATACGATGTCACGATAAATTTAATATTTATGAGCACTAAAATGCTTAGTTTTGAGTAGACTCAAGAATAGAATAAAATCAGAAATACATCAAGAATTTCATCACAATGTCACGTCAATGATGATGCAATGACAGTAATTGCTAATGAAGTTAGAAACCGTTTATTTCATATCAATAATCTATCGGGTTATATGAATTGTTAATGTAATCAAATATTTAATTTATTTCACGACGATGACGTGTAGATCCCACTAAGATTGGCCCACTCTGAGAGCTCCCACTGCGATTTAAACATGTTATTCATTATTATCAAGAGTAGAACTAAGCCAGAAAGTATTTGAAATTACTGTTAGTAATAAAATTATTCACACTTTATTATTAACTGAATACATCACACACCGAATACACCTTACCTTTGAACAGTACGTACACACTAACTTGACGCAGATAAGCGCGCTGGAAGTTAATCACGACATTTGTATTAAAGAAAGGAAATATCAAACTCGGAATCTGGCAGAAATAACAAGCGTATAAATAATTATACAGCTTATTAATCTTCGCATCTTATCCCATTGTCACGATCGGATTACTTAAGTTATACACAAAAATAAGTTACTAAGTTATGTCAATTTAAATAGAGAAAAATTATAACCCTTTTTCTTTCTAAGACAAACAAAGAAAATTTGTAAGGATAATCTCCAGTTATTATAGAATTTGTTTTTAGTTGTTATATTTAGTAAGTACTCGTAAGTCGTGTTATATTTAATTTGATTTTTGTAATTATCTATTGGTACGTATAATTTTTACAATCTATTCAGTCATTAACACATAGATGACGAATCTTTTGTTCAAATAAATCTCAGTCGAATATGACTTATTTCAGTAATATTTATGACTTTGTCGAGTACACACTATCATCATGTCTGCTAAATAATAATGATCACCTGTTTGTAACATGATATAAGTACGTGACAATATGTCCCTTTATATAGCTCGGCATGAGTAACTTCCAGTGAACACAATCACAATAAGTATAATGAATTAGCTCTTAAGTTACGGCGTATACATGGTGTATTTCATTATTTAGCTAAATTGTCAGTAAAACGTTAAATGAGTATAAACAAATAATACAGCAACGGATTGAATAATTTTTCTTGTAAATTTATAATCGCTGTTTACATCGAATGCCATGCTCTCAAACGTATTATTATGTTGCTTCATTTCCCAAAAAAACATGCTTTTCATTAATTCAATACAATAAATTTAACACTTGGTGATCGATCCGTTCCACACATAATAACTATTTAGAGCCTGTTGTGTATGATTAAAATACAGGCTTAATGTACGTCTTATTGAATTAATTTTACGAATATATTTTTTGCTAAACGAAACGTTGTCAAAGGATCATAATCGACCACTATCTGAAATTAACAACTATGGTGCCATCAAGTATGTATAAAAGCCATCCTATACCTAACGCATATATATCGGAATGCATGAATCCATCTCAAATATTTGGAAAGTACATTGTTTTTTAATAAAAACCCCTCTAAGCTTTATGTTGAGTTTCAATGAGTTATTTGTTGGGCAATCCGTATATTTTTATTGGTTGTAACAGTCGTTGATAAAGAAGGTCGAAACAAACTGATATTAGTAATTAGTAAGCGCGGTTTATGTTCCATTCAAGGTTCGCCGAAGGTCACCGTGGCAGGTTTTGGCTTCTATCTATTTTGTATTCTGAATGTAGGAAATCTATTGCAAAGAGATTTCAATTGTTTTCGTGCTAGCCGATTATGATATTGCAATTTTAGTGATCGTGTGACCTATTGAACGATGGTCATGCTAGGGGAAAAGTTTGCAATTGTTTTCGTAATAAAACCTCTTCGGTCAATCAAAAAAAAGAAAACACCGTTCAAAGATTAATTATTATCTTTGTTTTCATGTAAACCAATCGCAGTTGTTGTTTATTTATCTTTGTATAGTTTTTTTCAGCTCGATTCGAAAGTTACATCTTTGCCTGACATTCCAGAGATTATTATAGAGAAAGTTACGTCGAAATCGATTCGATATCTAGCGACATAACCGAGATACATAGATTCCTTGCCATTATTGTGTAACCGTGTTCGAGGCTGTGATATTAGATATTTTGCATCTTCAAGTTTTCATAAAATTATTTGAAATATGTACTACCTAATAGGATTCTTTACAATTTTTTTTATTGCCCGTATTTTTTATTGTCGTACAGGCAGACGAGCATACGGCCCACCTGATGGTGAGTGGTTACCGTCGCCCATGGACTTCAGCAACACCAGGAGCAGAGCCAAGCCGCTGCCTACCAAACTACATACTATTATTCTTTATTATTATTATTATATTATTCATTTTAGTTCTTAGCCCCAAGGCATTACTAATTAAAACTATTGAATAAAAAAAAGTTATATAGGAAGACCTCTTATTCCAAAAAGTACGTGGAGCCGTAAAAGTTGAGGTAATCAGTCGTAGATTGTAATTCTTAGAATTGCTTAAAACTTGCTTTAACGATTAGCTATGCAATTATAGTTTTAATTTTTTGTCTCCTCTGACGGCAAACAAGTTTAAGAGGCTCGGACAACAAGAAAAAAAACCACTTTGATTTTTAAAGAATTAATTTGATATATAATTCATTCGAGATAAATACGCGCGCAGTATAAACTGGATAAAATACAATTCAACAGACCACTAAAACTAAATTATGGTAATTTAAATAATTGAATAAAAGAACAGAAATTTTACGCCATCACAAGGTCGATTCTGTTACTGTCTTGTAAACACTCTAGCATATGCCGCGTCGATATTGTTCGGGTGCGGATAATAGAACATTTTCTTACTGTATCACTCAGCTTATTCTAAATACATACTTTAAATATTTTCAGTCGTATTTTGTCACTAAACTTATTCTAAATACATACTTTAAATATTTCCAGTCGTATTTTGCTTAATAAGAATATATTATTCATTTTTCTCGACAGATTTTCAGTCGTTTTTAAACTAATCATCGTGATTCGTATTAAATAATTTAACGACCACAGTTCGTGTATTTACTATCATTTTAATATCATACATGCGCTGAACGAGTTACTGTAATAAAATAATCACATGAATACGGGTAGGTATTTGAAGTCGTCGTGGCCTAAAGGATAAGATGTCCGGTGCATTCGTGTTGAGCGATGCACCGGTGTTCGAATCCCACAGGCGGGTACCAATTTTTCAAATGAAATACGTACTTAACCAATTTTCACGATTGACTTCCACAGTGAAGGAATAACATCATGTAATAAAAATCAAAACCTGCAAAATTATAATGACCGGTGGTAGGACCTCTTGAGTCCGCACGGGTAGGTATCACCACCCTACCTATTTCTACCGTGAAGCAGTAATGCGTTTGATTTAGGAGGGTGGGGCAGTCGTTATAACTATACTGAGACCTTAGAACTTGTATCTCAAGGTGGGTGGCGCATTTACGTTGTAGATGTCTATGGGCTCCAGTAAACACTTAACACCAGGTGGGCTGTGAGGTCGTCCAACCATCTAAGCAATAAATAAATTTTTTTTTAACTTAGAATGTAACTAGAAGAAAGGCTGTCACTCCGGCGTACAGACTATTTTGCAAAAACTTAGGGGTAGTCTTGAGAGGCTATACCGGCGTAACCTAACGGATACGGCTCACGCGGACCAAACATGACGAGGAAAAAAAATTCATATCGGTTTGCCCCTTTGCTGCGTGAAAGCAATGTCAATCCATCGACAAACATGAGCATTTGATAAAACGCCATCACTTTACTAAAATGTCGATGGAAACGAGCAGTATCCATGCAGTATCTATGAGAGGGAAGCTTTCCCCATAATTAGGATAAGTAGTTGTGTTAGTAACTTCTAATACGATAATGATATCGATAACATTTAGAAATCGTGATCGAATAGACAAGTTTTATGTTATCTTACGTATAATTGAGTCTTAATTTATGAATTGAGGAATCTCTATTGTGCCTATACGATACGATACGATAGGACCTACGATACACTGCATTCACATTATGGAGGAAAGAAAAGTTGTAAATCATTGATCATTAAGATTGGAAACGTATTTCTTTTTAATTTTAAAGTAATATTTGAAATTGAATATTAAAATGAGGATGACTTATAACTTACACAGGCAACTATGAAAATCAAGCCGCCATAGGAAAAGCGTCTTTAGACAGGTCGATGAGGTCGTTCTCGCGACTGGTATCATTTTGTCTAAATCGTAATGTAAAAACCCAACAAGATTATTCGAAAATGACGTCCGCGTTGAAAAATTATATTATTAAAAATTTAACTTGCACAATTTATTTTGCGTAATTACCGGCAATAAAGCGTCTTCGGAGGCCACGGGCATTATCGCTGTCTTATTTATGTCGTGAACCATTTATGTATTTCGGTTTTAAAGATAGGGTAGCTGTCAGTCACTCCAATGTTGTTGTATTTTCTACCTCTGTTTTTTTTTATTGCCGTTTAGGCAGACGAGCATACGGCCCACCTGATGGTGAGTGGTTACCGTCGCTCATGGACGTCAGCAATGCCAGGGGCAGAGCCAAGCCGCTGCCTACCGTTTAAACGTCAGATGTCAGGATAGTCGGCGGTATTCACGTTGTAACTATGCACTTTAATAACCATTTACATCATTTAACAGCGGGCTCCTTTATTCGATTGAAATAGGTAGGCGTTTATTGACGCATGTATGTACATGGTAGATCAGAGATAATCGTTTTGTCAAAGCTGTTGTTGTATAAGTTGTGACATTTGTACATTTACTGCTGTCGTATTTGTCTGCATGTGTGCATTAGAAATTTTTGAAGGAACTGTTGTGGTTTTTTTTTATTGCTTAGTTGGATGGACGAGCTCACAGCCCACCTGATGTTAAGTGGTTACAGGAGCCCATAGACATCTACAACGTAAATGCGCCACCCACCTTGAGATAAGTTCTAAGGTCTCAGTATAGTTGGTGCTGTTGATTCTCTATATGACAAACTATGTTTTAACCCTAAGCGGGTAGGTTCTACGGACTTAACTAACGGATAAAAAAAGTTGTCCTAAAAATCAATTGTATTTTTACTGTACTACTTACTCGAACCGTTAACTAATTCGAAACGATATTTTGAAATGCGGGAACGTGAAACGTTAAATGTTTCATAAACTATAACTGAACTGAATAACTCGAGCGTGAGAGGAAAATAAAAAAAACTATAAGTCATATTTTATTAGGCAGGATATCTCTTCAGTTTAATTCAGTTCAGAGTCAACACTCAAAGACTTCAATATCTATGAAACAGATTAAAAAGCGAGCCAATTAACTAATGAAGTCCTCCTACGCCTTTCGCGTTTGCTTAGGTACTGCGAGTTGTTCTGTATTAACTAACGTTAAACAAAAGTTTTTATGTTTATTTACTGTTTGTCGGAAACGAAGTGCATTAGCGATAGACATCAACCTTATTCATTAAGTTAAGACTTACCTGCCTGTGTTTACCTTGATGATTAAAGTGCACGGCTCTAGTCTAGCAGGCCGCATCGTTTCCGCAAACGTCTACAAAATTAAGTGACTTCATCGCTCAAGTTCAGATGATACAATTACGTCATCGTTTTTGATAATAACTTTTTTTTTGATAAATTTTCATAATAGAAGTGTCTGTGGCTTAAAGAATACGACGTTCGATGTGCTTCTATCAGCAGTACTTGGCATACCTACAGGATTTTTGTTTGCTACCAGAACTCATTGACTATAGATCATGAATCCCCTCACTTTGTCTTTGAAATATAAGTATTATGTATTCATTTAAAATGCATCTAATCCACTGATTGATTGCATTTTATTATTAATATTTATATATTTGTAGTAAATAGATAAAAATGAGTCTGGGCTGCCCTTACGTCTATAAATTAGCAATATGTTAGGATTTTTTAACGTTACAATGAATCAATTAAATTTTCTAAAACCACCTTTTCAGATGGAGAGGCAGCGTCTACAAGCTGGTGTGGCGCGAGCTGCTAGCATACCTATTGCTTTACTATACAATAAACTTATTGTATCGCTTCGCACTCACAGAACAGCAACAAAGGTAAATTCTTTTTACTATAAAATTATTCTTTATTAGCATATATAGGCACGCTTATGCGAGCTTATGGCGGATCTATCAAGTAGTTAGCAGAGCCTATAGATACCACAATGTGAGTACTGCCACTTTCGTTGAGTAAAAATGAACTTCTAATTGTATTAGAATAATGACAACCCTGCGCTGTATAGCGCAATATGCTTTGTGGCAGAAGCGTACACGGTGCCAGCTGCTAACCGTGTGAGCTCACAAAACTACAACATATTTTACTATTAAGATGGGTAATTAAGTCTTATAATTTCGGAGAACCCTAATTATTGTGATGTGCCACGGACGGAAAGACCAAAGGCTGGATTGCTTATCGCGTCTGTACTTTTGACGTAGAAATTAGGTTTTATTACCAGTAACCAGCATCAGCCAAAGTATGAGTTTCTAATAATGACGTATAACCATACTTTCTTTTGATAATTTGAGATTGGAATCTTAAATGATTGATTCAGAAATATTTATTAAAATTAATCTTTAGATGAACTACAAAGTAAGGTACGCGTTCCGAAATTTCTATTACCTGTATATACATTGTTACTAGCATTAAATATTCCTGCATAGCAGTATTTAGGCATGTTCTAACATGAATGAAACGTATACCGAAACAGGACTATTTTTCTATTTATTGACAGCACACAGACGCGGGCTGCACGGCCGGTTTAATCAACTCCAATAGGTTGGAACCTCCCGGTCTACAGAGATTTTCTCTGAATTTTGTACTACATGTTCCATGAGATATGAGTGCTCTGAGTAATTATTTGAGATGATTACGTCATCTGAGTTTTATCTATTCACCACCTATCATTGTAGCAGGGGTTGGCCGTATGTACTGGAACCTCTGCTTTTATCCTGCTTTTCTAAAGATCGTTTATTTTACCATTCAGCTCTTGAATTAACTCGCGTCTCCCGATGTCTTTTACTGTTTCTTCGTTGTAAGCGTGGCTTCAAAAAGTCCTGGAAGATAAAGGCTTGGCTCTGCCCCTGATATTGTCGATAAGATGTGCTGAATCTGGTTTGTATATAAAGGCGAAACAATTTTTTTTTCAAATGTTTTTACGAGTTATTGTAGCCGCCGCGCCGTGTGTAACATCAGATTCATCATTACCATACTGACACCAGTTTGACGAGTTACTGCAAATTGATGTTATATACTAAAACTGTTCGTGACGCTTAAAGTCTGTCCTTAATGGATAGTACCTAACATAAATATTGTATACATACATAAATGCAAACAGCATAAGACCCTGTTATTTGCATTTTAAACAAAACAAAACAATAAGAATGTGTGAATGTAAACGTGGACAAGGATAAATATTATTATGCGACTTGGAAATTCATTTTGACATTTCTTTGCTTGTAAACAGTAATTAACAATACAGCTATAGCCATCATCCACGTATGTTATACAACAGTTTTTTTTTAAATGCGAAGCTAGTCTTCGATTTGAAGAATGATTACAGAATAACTCTATTATTAAGCAAACATAAAAACATACACCAACCTTTTAAAGCCATTTCGATTCGTGAGGAAAAAATGACTTCAGCAAAACGCGTGTAAGAAACATAAGCGGCCATAAAATATAATTTATCACTCCACGTTTGATTATGTTTTCGAGAAATATATTTGCAATTGTAACTTGATGATTTGGAATGAGGCTCTTGCTACACGGTCAGAGCAATTCACAACAGAACAGAGCACAATTTTAATTGCCTTTTAATTTCTATAACTGAATTTAACTGGATGGTAGGATCTCTGGTGAGTTCGCACGCGTAGGTACCACCACCAAGGGTGGGGCAGCCGTTGTAACTATACTGTACTTAGAACTTATATCTCAAGGTGGGTGGCGGCATTACGTTGTAGATGTCTATGGGCTCCGGTAATCACCTAACACGAGGTGGGCTGAGAGCTCATCCACCCAATTATGCAATAAAAAAATAAATAAAAACTTAAGACCTTAACCGTTCAATTTGTATGTTTTTCTTAAGTTTCAAAAAATAAGCTGCCGTATTTTCAATTTACTCAAAATGTATATATTCAATAACATACGTTTCTCAGTTAAGGCGACAAATTTTATTATATTTATATTACATTGTTATTTTATTATTACATACATTATTTATACGAAAAATATTATACACATCATTATATGGATTCAATGAAGAGTATGAAATTGCACTCGCGATTAGAAAACATAGTTAATGACATCACAAGTACAGATTTGTATAAAACTACCTCCAATTTCTATTACTGTGGAGTCGATTTTGTTATTGTACTAGGTTTATAAACTTCACGCAATCTTTAACCTTGCCTTGCCTTTAAACTGTTGCTCACCTATATCGGTAGGCAGGGGCTTGGCTCTGCCCCTGGCATTGCTGAAGTCCATGGGCGACGGTAACCACTCACCGTCAGGTGGGCCGTATGCTCGTCTGCCTACAAGGGCAATAAAAAATAATAATAATAATGTGTTAAGGCTGGTTGGTAGCAATGGTCATTTCACCTCGCCCGAACATTAAAACGGATCAACGAACGAAGAAGTTCCTCCTCCTTGCATCGATAATCCTCAATGCTGAGGGTCGTAGCCTTCTCTAACAACTTTCTCCTGGATTATTCAAGAGAAGAAGAAGTTACTCAATAGAAAAAGATCTTGAAAATATGTAGTAAGGTGCATTGCAATGATAATACAGATAACATCGGACGCTTATATAAATACATTTATTACATACTAGCTGAACCGGCAGAATTCGTAGTGCCTCAATCGAGAAATAAAAGACCTAAACTTTTGTATAAAATAAACTTAAAACAAACAAAAGGAATCTATCCGACGGGGGACACATCAAAGGAAAAACAAAATTATAATTTTTATTTTATTCCAGTATTTTCATATTTATCTACCTTTTAAACCTTCTCTGGACTTCCACAAATACTTTAAGACCAACATTAGCCAAATCGGTTCAGCCGTTCTCGAGTTTTAGCGAGACTAACGAACAGCAATTCATTTTTGGAACGAAGTTCCTTACGGCAGGCTTGGAGGGGATAGGGATTTTGCTGCGCGACCGAACTGAAAAAAATGTGATAGTAAAACCGTAAGAAAAAATCCGTGGAAAAAAGTGCGTGGAATAAAACCGTTAAAAAATCCGTGGAAAATAGTGCGTGGAATAAAACCGTTAAAAGAGACGTGCGCAGGCGCGACAGTCGTATACACAAGCGAGTAGTGTATAATACCTTTCTCTTTCTCCCTCTTTCTTTTCGTTCTCTCATCCCTTCTCTCTCTGTTTTGTAATTATTTCTATTTCTATGTAATTTTATGTTGTCAAACAAAAATAGAGAGACATATTTTGTTATTTTAATTGATAATTTGAATTACGATTTTATTTTTATATATATAGATAGAAGATAGCTATATAATACGCGATCGTTGATGTAAATATGTATGTACTTTTTTTCCCGGGCACCTACGAGTCCGTTGATTTCTCATGCCCAGTATTTCCGCAGTGCATTACAAAGCAAGGTTATCAAATGCGTTCGTTGACGCTTTAAGACGGAAACTGAATCGAACAATTTGTATTGAATCAGTGTGACGAACTAAATGATTTTAATTTAAGAAACAAGTGGAGGTCGCCAGTCTACAGTTTGACAAACAACTATTAAACGATATACAAATATGAATTCCTTGAAATGCCTTAAACGTTTTGACGAGTCCTCATTCTTGGATTTTATTATTTAGACAGATGCCACTGATACTTAAATGTTGTCGGTGAACTCTTAAATAAGGTTATATTATGCATATACTAATGTTTTTAAGAGCTCAATGAGCCATAAATACGTTCTTTCAAAGCACTCTTACATTATGTATTCTTTTAAATCTCTTACACAGCCTATATCCGGAAATAATTCGCTTGATCATAATATTGCCCTACCGATTTTTATATGTACTTCAGGAGTTGACAACCTAATAGCATTTTACTTTCAGTATTGATGGCAAGGGCGACGGTTGCACACAGTCTCTCTATCTCTTTCTAACTTGAGTGTTGGAAGAGTGTACAGTAATACCTAAGTATACCTATGTATACAGTGTGTACGCAGAGTAGCTTCTGCCGCAATGTACACCTGAACTAAGACACTCCCTCTTATGGCAACGTACTGAAACATTATAAATTAATGTTAAACCAATTTACGTCCCATCGATTTCGCGTGTGCTTGCGGTTCGTCGGTGTTAAAATCTTTTTAGTATTAAAGATATGTACATAATTAAGCATAATATTGTTTTTTATTGTTTACGAAAGGAATCTGTTTGACTCGTAATTTTCTCGAGTTATTGATACTTTTATACGTATCTAGTCTTAGGTATCAATAGTATTTTCTTTTCCCCTACTTATAACGCTGTTAGTCTAAGCGGATATTCCAGCTACACGCGGACGAATAGGTGATTTCACGGGCTTAATCTGAAAGAATTTTCTAATACTAGCCTTAGCAAGAGCAGTGCTTCGCAGATCGGAATCGCGACCCACTCAGAAGATCCGTCAAGAAACTTAGTGAGCTGTGTCTGTGGGTAAATAGTATAGGGGTATCAATATCAGTTAGAAGAGTACAGTACCGCCAATATACAATAAGTGGCACGAGTTGTCTCAGGTGGACATATTTGAGGAGTAGTGGTTAGATGTTTATGATAAAGAGTTGGTTCAAAAAATACAACCGATATTTCAAAGAGGCTTGTGGAGAGTACTTAACGGTAGGCAGCGGCTTGGCTCTGCCCCTAGCATTACTGAAGTCGGTAACCCCTCACCATCAGGTGGGTCGTATGCTCGGTAACCTACAAGGGATATAAAAAAATAGTATTTCGCGATGGTTTCATCAAAATTTGTCTTCGTTGGTTTAAATGAAACCTTCCCTGTATTTTGTTTTTACAAAAAAACTTAGATTCGTCATGGGTGCTTAGCAACATTGCTTTATTTAACTAA